TAGAAGCTGATTGGCTACCATGCACAGCTGCACCAGATTCTGAGTGCACCAGCTTTAGCATATCTCCGAATGCAAAAGAAAACAAAAAGAGGGAACACCGGCCTAGTGCATTATCATACAAAATATTTAATGAAAGGATACAAAGTAGGTATCATACTCACAATGGACATATAAAACACAGGCACATCACAATAAACAGTGGTGTCCAATCAATATAGCATCTAAGTCCACAACTATGGAACCCTGGATTTCCAACTGGCTAACGCGTTTTGAGGACTCAGCCTCTTCCTCAGAGCCTCTTGGTTGGTATACCTACTTTTTTATCCTTTCATTAAATATTTTTTATGATAATGCACTAGGCTGGTGCACCCTTTTTTTTGTTTTATTTTGCATTCAGTGACTTTGGACTACCCCGGTCCATTGAGGGCAGCAAGGAGTGCATATTCCAGGATATTTTAATTGTCACCCTAGCCTCTGCTGAGTCCATCCCCAGTGCAGGAGTACAGAATTTGCTGTGTTTGAGTTCTAGTATATCTCCCCCTTTGTTACAGATGTTGAAATGTTTTGATAGTACAAATTCTGCAATTACAACCACACTGTGTGTGCCATGCCTTCATTCAAGGGTGCCTACCACTCACATTTCTACAGTTTACAAGCTGAATTCACAGAATGCTGGGTTGGCTTAAAGGTCCTCTATCTATAAAGGCTGTGAATCATATTTTTCCTGCCATGTCCATGTGTGTCCTGTGCTCTAACCTTGTCTCCCAGGAGTTTGATTTAAGAGCTAATTAGCTTTGAAAAGTGACTCAGGCCTTCTGTACACATTATTTCACTACTGCCAAGGCTCAGATCCTGAAGAGAAATGCTAGCCCACCATGCCTCTGAGGTTCCTCATATGCCTTTGGGGATCAGAAGGTGGTACAAAAATGTTAACCTGCGAACTAATTATACACTAGCCATTCAGACTGCAGACTGGATGACCAAAAAATATTAATATATACACTGGGTGCTGCAAGTGACTGCAGCTGATTGCCCGCAGTCATTGTTTGGCCAAGAATTATACTCACAATGGACATAATAACACAGGCATGTCAAACTGAACAAGATGTATGATCCAAACAACATCTGAGTCCATACGATGGAACCCTGGATGACCAACTGGCTAACGAGTTTCGTGGACACAACCTCTTCCTGGCTCTGAGGAAGAGGTTGTGTCCTTGAAAAGCGTTAGCCAGTTGGTCATCCAGGGTTCCATCGTATGGACTCAGATGTTGTTTGGATCATACATCTTGTTCAGTTTGACATGCCTGTGTTATTATGTCCATTGTGAGTATGATACCTATTTTTGTTTCTTTAATAAATTATTTTAAACGATAATGCACTAGGTCGGTGCGCCCTTTTTCTGTTTCTCCATTTGTATCCAGTGTATTTGGACCACCCCGGTCTGTTGAGGGCAGCAAGCAGTGCATATTCCAGAAAATTCCAGAACATTCCTATTGGGTCTACTGAGTCCTTTCCTAGCGCAGGAGTAAAGTGTTTGTTGTGTTGGATTCAAGAATTATACGCCTGCTCTTCAGGCTCCATGCACACTAACAATTTTTTTCAGCTCCTAGAAGCTATCGGCATTTTTTTCTGCTCCTAGAAGTTAAATAGTGTTATCCTATGTGTCCATGCACACTGTTTTAGGCTAGTAGTGTTTTTCAAGCTTCAGCGTTTAGTAGCAGAAAACAAATTATTTTTGTTGAGTTTTTGGGAACGTTTTTATGACAGAAAAAATCGTTGAACGCTCTTAAACTCTCCCAACTACTCCTAAACGCTACTAAAACAGCTTTATTTTTTTTTCTACATGTACTGTACTCCTAAACGTTCCTAAATACTTCTAAACGCTACAAAAACACTGCTACAAGCCGGCACAAAAATGCTATTACAGCATTTTTCATCCAGCTTTTTTTTCTAGAGTTTTTTGAACTCATAAAAAAACGCTACTGTGCATGGAGCCTCAATGTTCAGATCAAAGGACGTAGATTGGTAGGGTGCTGACAGGGCCACTGCTTATATTTTTCTCATTAGGAACTGGCCAAAACTAAAGCAGTGTATGGCCACAGGATACATTGCTTGGGTGTATTATTACCTACTTTGGTATTCAGCTACCTGTAGCTATGACTCTTTTTGGGTTTCCACAGGCTACATAACCTAATTGGTGAATAGTTCAGATTTTCAATCCGATATTGCCATACTGCCCTAGTCTACCTTGGCCCTTTGCCTGTAATCTGGTGATCCTGGAATGCACCTGGTGATGCTGCAACAACCTCCTACACACAAAGCCTAATGCACAAATAGCAATGCTAAGACATATTTCAGAGCCACCAGTCAAATGACAACTTCATACTTGCAAACTGTCCGGGACAGTCCCATTTTTGAGTTAGTTGTCCTGCCTCTGCTGTGTCCCAGGTTTTGCCATGGAATAAGAGCATAATGATCGTTACGCTGTCTGCTATAAATGCGCTGGCTCTGTGTTGCTTATGATGATAGTTTATATACTGTCCCAAACCTCCCTGTCCACCTTCTGTGTGAAGAGTTATCTGAGTATGCTGGGGAGGTGGCAGGGAAGCTTTACCCGGCAGGTCCCAGCATCAGAGTGCTAGCCAGGAGCTCTCCATGGCATCCAGAACGAGTCGTAAGTGTGGAGCCAAGTAAGGAAATCACAAACAGCAATGAGTACAGTATCAGGATAAATGTAGAATACAGAATGTTCTATGTTTCCAGTGGTGCAGCACTGTACTATTCTATTACTATCATTTATTAATAATAGAATAGTGACTACAGTGCTGCACCATTAAATACATAATGTACAGCACAGTGTACACAAACCAACAGTGTGAAGTATATAACTCACAGAACAGTGTGTGCAGAATGGAATTGCTGACTTAAAACACAGCATTGTCCACAGTGTGGCATATACAACAAACAGCGCACTGCTCAGAATGGAGAAACAGGGAATATACAACACTGAGCACAGGGGGCATTGTAGAATATATGATTATGGAAACAGGGCTGCAGTGTGGTTTGCAGGGAGGTAATCCACTCTACTGGGCCTGAGCTCCACTGGTCACCAGGTGGCCTTGAAAATGCTTTTTTTCTCTTTCCACCGAGATGCAGTGCATCTCCTGTAGTCCTCCTCTCTATGGCCATCAGTGGATACTTTCTTACAGCTCAACAGCTTCTCCCTGGGAAGAGGGAGGTGTTGGGCAGGGCTGATTGGGTGGCTGTGACTTCTCCCCTGCAGGCACAGGGAGTCCCCCTGACTGATTCAGATGATAAAAATGGGACAGAAGGAGGAGATGGCAGCCCAGCAGGTCTTCCACCTCCAGTCGTGTGGTAAGTGGCTGATGGGATTGATTTTTACCTGCAGGAATTCCCTCTATCTGTACTGCTTCAGGCCATTACCCTGGCAGCCAAACTGCACACATATGACTGGTGAGCTGCTCCCAGCCCTGCCAATACATACTGTTCACTGATTGCCTTACCTCTACATTCTGCTCACTGACTCTTTTACCTCTACACACTGCTCATTAACTGCCCTGCCACTAGATACTGTTCACTGACTGCTTTACCTCTACATACTGCTCACTGACTGCCCTGCCACTACATACTGTTCATTTACTGCCTTACCTCTACACACTGCTCACTGACTACCCCACAAACTACATACTGTTCACTGCCTTACCTCTACATTCTACTCAATGACTACCCTGCCACTACATGCTGTTCACTGACTGCTTTACCTCTACACACTGCTCACTGACTACCCCACAAACTACATACTGTTCATTTACTTCCTTACCTCTACACACTGCTCACTGACTACCCCACAAACTACATACTGTTCACTGCCTTACCTCTACATTCTGCTCAATGACTACCCTGCCACTACATGCTGTTTACTGACTGCTTTACCTCTACGTACTGCTCACTGACTGCCCTGCCACTACATACTGTTCATTTACTGCCTTACCTCTACACACTGTTCACTGACTACCCCACAAACTACAAACTGTTCACTGCCTTACCTCTACATTCTGCTCAATGACTACCCTGCCACTACATGCTGTTCACTGACTGCCTTACCTCTAGTCATAGAAGTAAAGAGCAGAGGCAGGCCGTGAAGATGAGAAGATAAACGTGTTTAGGGTGATAAAGTGGATGGATAATAAATGGAGAAATAGAGCTTGAAACTGAAATTAAAACTGGCAAATGTCAGAAGAAGAGAAAAAAAAAGAATGTTAAGGGATGTGAGAAATAATGCTGAAAAGTAACATAAAGTGAAAACTTTAAATAAAGACTGACAAGTGGAAAAAGTGAAAACTAAAAAAAATAAGACCAAGAATAAGAATTGAATAGTGATAAACTAAGAAGTGTTTTGTAGCGATGTCTATAAAAGGAAAAACAATAAATAATAAGGAAAGATGCTGTGTTGTAAAAATGAGAAGAAATCATTTTATATTGTATGTTTCGTGTGAAAAAATGTATGAAAAGAACTGTGAAAGAGTATGTAAAAATAGAGATTTTTTTTAAAAAGTACAATAAAAAAAGATACAAAAGAAAAAAAGTGAAAAAATGAATTTTTAATCGAATGTAAAAAACAAACAGACATAGTTGTAAACTACCGTATTTTTCGCCGTATAAGACGCACCTGACCATAAGACGCACCTAGGTTTTAGAGGCAGAAAACAGGAAAAAAAAAAATTCTGAACTAATGGACTGCAGACACAGTACAGGAGATGACCAGAGACTGCAGGCAGCACAGGGATGACCAGAGACTGCGGACAGCACAGGGATGACCAGAGACTGTGGACAGCACAGGGATGACCAGAGACTGCGGACAGCACAGGGATGACCAGAGACTGCGGACAGCACAGGGATGACCAGAGACTGCGGACAGACAGGGATGACCAGCTGGACAGCACAGGGATGACTAGAGACTGCAGACAGCACAGGGATGACCAGAGACTGCGGACAGCACAGGGATGACCAGAGACTGCGGACAGCACAGGGATGACCAGAGACTGCGGACAGTACAGATGACTGCTGACCTTTGGGGAGGTGGGGAGCGGGTACCTGAATTTGACAGGTACCCGCTCTTATTTCCACAGAGTTCTTGTTTGATCTTACCTGTTCCTTGATCCAGCCGTGCGCTGTCTTCCCGGCTTCTGTAATGGCGCTCGGCATGACAGCCGGGTACCCAGTGCGCATGAGCAAGAAGCACTTGCTCTTTGTGATTGGTCCGGCGGCTTCTGGGATCTGTCATGTGTCCCAGGTACCGCCTTACCATTCACAAAAAGCACCGCTTCTTGTGCATGCGCACTTGGCACCCGGCTGTCATGCCCAGCGCCCACACTACAGAAGCCGGGAAGACAGCACGCCGCTGGATAGAGGAACAGGTAAGGTCCCACTGCAGAGCTGAGCGGCCGGTCCGGTATTCTAACACGGCCGCGGTGGAAATACCGGACCGGCCGCTCCATATTCGCCTTATAAGACGCACTGACATTTCCCCCCCAGTTTTGGGGAAGAAAAAGTGCGTCTTATACGGCAAAAAATACGGTATTGGTAATAGAGTTACAATCTCCAATAAAAACATTAGCAGTTCTGTCATCCTGTTCAAAGAGCATTACGAAGGATAACAGAAAAAAAGTCCTAAAAACGTCCTAGAAAAAGACAGTAAGTATCAATAATGGACAGAACTTATCTTGTCATCTGTCTGTTCTGTAGAAAATATGTTCTGTTCTTCATATTTAAGTGTTCTTGCATGGCAGGACCACTTACTGCTATCTCACATATATATTCTTATTCTTATTCTAGCCAAATTTACCACCCTAACTTCTCCCACAGTTTTTACACTACATAGACAGTAATACACCGAAACGTGAGGATTGTTCCTGATTGGTGTGCTATTACTTTGTGGAACGTTTCGCCGAATGGTTCACGAAATATCGGCGTTTTTGTGGTGAAATTGGTCCCATAGGAATGAATGGCGGAATGTTCAAAACTAGTGGGAGCTGACAAAAGCTAGAGTGTGAGCTGAAAAATCAGGACATGATTTCTAAACTGCCATCACTCCCTCATTTTCAAGCCCACCTACACAAATCTTATATCAAAACGTTCAGCTATCCCTGCTGCCACTAAAAATGTCCACAGCTAGGGCATAGTCCTGATAGTTTTCACAATATGACCATTTGTTTGCAACGCACGCCGCCTATTCATTGAAACTCCACTCTAGCCACCTCAAATTTGAAGGGCAATTTCTAAACTGCGACTGTGCCTTCATTTTTAATATTTCAGAGACATACTATGCATCAAAATGTAGGTCAGGGTCTTGTGATTCTCACAATATAAAGCTTCCCTGTAGGATTTATAGTTTTTAAAACTACGACCATTTGAAGACGCCAGTGAAGTGAGCAATTTGGAGCAGTTTGTTTTTTAACCGCTCTTCTCTGCCCTATTTGAAATCTAATTTTGAATTCGTGACAGTTTGGCCGACTTCTGGTTAAAGGTTTGGAAATAAGTTTTCTACAGTAGAGAGTATTAGAGGTGATAATGCTGCTAATGTTTTTTATAAATGTATGTTTTAATGTAACTGTGAAGCACTTTGGGCAACAACATTGCAATTAAATATATATTGCTATATAAATAATTAAAAGTTGAAATGCATTTCTCATTCTATCAAGCTTGCCATGTGCACTTTTTAAATTTGATCAATCAATTGGTTAATGTAATGTTTACTATCTTTACTCACTCCAAATACTCCACACAGTTACTCTGCTCACTCCATAAAGTTACTCTGCCGAGTCCAACCTTTTCACAGTTACTCCAGCCACTCCAACCACACAACAGTTACTCAAGCCACTCCACCCAGTTACTCCGCCCACTCCAGTTGTAGACTACTGGTGGAGGCAAGAACACTTCACACAATTTCCCCAGAAATTGTAGCTTTTCTAGTTCATTCTACCATTCTACTTCTTGTGTCCATAAATGTGGCTGAAGAAGGGGATTTTAACCATGGTGAAGTCCTAAGTGCTAGTTTACATGTCCTATGCAAAAGAACATAGGAACTAGAGTGCAGAAAAAAGGCAGCAGGCGCTCTCAACTGATGAGTCAAAAATTTAAATATTTGGCTGTAGCAAAAGGCACTTTGTTTGTGAAGGGCTGGAGAGCGGTACAACAATGAGTGTCTGCAAGCAACAGTAAAGCATGGTGGAGGTTCCTTGCAAGGTTGGGGTTGCATTTCTGCAAATGGAGTTGGAGATTTGGTCAAGGTCAATGATGACCTCAATGCTGAGAAATACAGGCAGATACTTATCCATCATGCCATACCATCAGGGAGGCGCATAATTTTCTCTAAATTTATTCTTCAGCAGGACTAGGAACCCAAACATACAGCCAATGTCATTAAGAATAGGAGCTATATTCAACGTGGCCTCCACAGAGCCCTGATATCAACATCCTCAAGTCTGTCTGGGATTATATGAAGAGACAGAAGGATTGGAATCAGCCTACATCCATAGAAGATCAAATTGCCAACTTAAACATGTATTGCAATATGTGTGAACAAAAAATCCCTGTTTTTTTTTTCATTGCAAAGTTTGCTAGAAAGGGTTCATTCAGAATTTCTAGTGTTAACATGTGGGCACACCCCTTTAGCACCTAATGGATTACATTATATTTATGTACACGCTATTGGGATTTGAGCACAGGTATAACTTACTTTTATTAGAACAATGGGAATCCTCTTACTGTACACTGCACACATATGCCACTGTTCCCATAACTACAAAATATGCCCTACTTACTGTGCCAAAGTCAAGTCTCACAGACACACAGAATCTTTAAAGGAATACTAAAATCGATTCATTATGCTATGAATTAATAAACAGCATTAACCAGTTAGCGACTGCCCGCAGTCCATATACTGTGGGCAGGCAGCAGCTACAGGCTAACTGGCATATCTGTACATAACTTAGCACATGTGCAGTGGCCTGACCATGACCGTTGTGTCCACAGGATACAGCAGATAGCGGCTCTCGATATCCTGACCAACATGATCATGATGTCAACAAAGCTATTATGAATACATTTCATTCATTACAGCTGTGATTCCTATAGAGATGCTGTGACTGGCCCACAGCTACCTCATGGTATCTGGGCCAATCACATCAACCTGTACCATGTGGTAACTGTGGGCCAATCACAGCACACAATAGCAATCAAACCAGTATGAATGTAACCCACTCATGAAGTGCAAAACATTGCTGTTGCAGTGATCATCAGTGTACCAGCAAATCAAAGTGTATAAAAAAAATCAATATCTTTGCACAGAGCAGGTAAAAATAACCTCTTTTTATTTTAGGAAATAAGACGGAGACTTTAGTATTACTGTAATCACAATCAATCACTGTATGATGTATTGGTATTGTTGAAATACGTTTTCTTACTTTGAAAATTTGTTTACTGTATATCTTCTGTCCATCTCTGTAGCTGCACCTGCTGTTTTTTGTCTCCTCATAACAGCCATCAGGGGGACAAGATGATTATGAAAGTATACAATTCCTCTATTGCATATGCTTTTATGAACACAGACTATAGACAGAACACACTTTGTCTGATCCCACCTTAAATTAGAACTGCAACAAAACTGTGGGAATACGTGCAACCAGCAACTGCTAAGACCACCTACATCTTGGTCAGAAGTATGTAATGTGTGTAAAGCACAGCTTACAGAGAAAAGCATTCTGGACAGAGTAATGTGCAGAAATGCTTACAAAGTGCAGCAGGTAGGATTATATAATGTACAGCATAATTTACATAGAGCAGCAGTCAGGGGTATGTAATGTAAAGCACAGTTTGCACAGTGTAGTAGCAGGAGAATGTAATAAACATCGCAAATTGCAGAGTACAGCCACCCGGAATATGCAGAGTGCATCTGGACTGTGCAGAGTGACCATTATAGGGCCCTTACTGCAGAATGAAATGAAAACGAGAAGCTCACCAACCTTGCGCATTACCTCAGTAACCAAAATTTATTAATTGTAAAAAATATACTCACAAACAGCGAATAAAATCAGGCATGTAAGTCCTCAAAGGGACTTGAAGATAGCGCGGATCCCATCAAGGGGATGGGTGTTCAGTATAGCTGACACGTTTCGAAGGGTGTCCCTTCTTCATCAGAGCAGTCTCAGGTTAGTAGGACTGAGAAAAAGGAGAGAAGCGCCTCTAAGTGCAATAAGTCTTTTAATTCAAGTCTAAATGTAGAAACACTCACATGTGTGAAGTAATCATAAGCATAAAAACCGTGGTTAACAATAGTTAACGGTGGGGTGGTAACCCGGGTGAAGAGCCGTCATCTCTCTGCGATGTGGGGAGGTCAGCTCTCGGCTGGAACAGCGTGGTGGCTGGAGGGGGAACAGTGGTGAGGCCGTGGAAGGCGGAAGTGCACTCCTTTTTCAACCTGCTTGAAAAAGGAGTGCACTTCCGCCTTCCACGGCCAGTGCATGCTCCGAAACGCGTCGCAGTGCACCCTGGGATCTGACGTCATCACGGCCACGCCGCCGCTACGTTCCAGCGTGCGTTCCATCCGGCTTTGAGGGAGGACGTGCATGAAGGCTGGCCTCACCACTGTTCCCCCTCCAGCCACCACGCTGTTCCAGCCGAGAGCTGACCTCCCCACATCGCAGAGAGATGACGGCTCTTCACCCGGGTTACCGGGTTACCACCCCACCGTTAACTATTGTTAACCACGGTTTTTATGCTTATGATTACTTCACACATGTGAGTGTTTCTACATTTAGACTTGAATTAAAAGACTTATTGCACTTAGAGGCGCTTCTCTCCTTTTTCTCATCTACAGAAGTTGCTACAGCTTATTTGGAAGCCTTGCCCTCAGTGCCACACGGAATCCTACGCTCTTCATACAGTAGCCACTAATACCACCATCACCCATACTACCATTTCCCAGGACTTTGCAGTGTTTGCGCTGTTACAACCCTTCCTCATTTTTTCTGAATCAGGTTAGTAGGACTACCCAACCCAGAGGGGAGGGCCTAATTTCAGTCCTGGGGTACATATAGGAGAGAGCACTCCCAGTTCACTTAGCTCTGATGAAGAAGGGACACCCTTCGAAACGCGTCAGCTATACTGAACACCCAACCCCTTGATGGGATCCGCGCTATCTTCAAGTCCCTTTGAGGACTTACATGCCTGATTTTATTCGCTGTTTGTGAGTATATTTTTTACAATTAATAAATTTTGGTTACTGAGGTAATATGCGCAAGGTTGGTGCGCTTCTCGTTTTCATTTCATTCTGCAGTATTTGTTGGGCTTCCCCAGCCTTGTTTTGGAGCCGCACAGCCCTTTATGCATTGGTGGACGATTTCTCCAGGTCTGGTTCCATCCATTCGCCACCTGTCTGGGTCCTAGAGCACAGGAGAATTCGTCTTTGATTCATTATAGGGCCCTATTGCAGGTCAATGCCCCCTTATGCTGGTGGTTAGTGGTAATTGCCTTCTATTTTTGGTGGTGAGTAGCGAGTGCCTCCTTCAGTGATGGGCAGAGGTGATCTCCCCTATAAGTTGCTGTTCAATGTTGAGTTCTCTTTTACACTGATGGCTAACAGTTAGTTCCTCCTTAAGTTGGTGGCCAGTGGCGAATGCCCCCTCCCCTTGGTAGTCAATGGTAAATGAAGAAGGGTCTCCTTTTATTGGTGGCCAGTAGTGAGTAATCTTTTTAGGATGGCCATACACTAGTTGAATTTTGGACAAACCTTGATGAACTGGCTGAAGATTGATTCATGCGTGACCCTGACGCCACCCTCCTACATGACATCATTCCATTGAAGAATCAAAGACGCCGGTAGGAAAATTTCGGCTGAACGGTGGCTGCTTTCAATTAGATGCAGCCACTGTTTGGCTATTTTTTTTCATTATTCATATTAGTATTGCACTTACAGTTTCTGACAAACCGAGTTCTATCTGGATACACTTTCTGGTTTAAAATTACTGTCCATAATGCAGATGTTTTTACAATCATTGCTCAAATGAAATGACACAGGGTGAAATATAGAAGGATATAAGACAGCATTAAAAATAATGACTAACATAACATTGTGGAAGAGAGTGTGAGCTGTTGTATTAATGGTTGTGAAGTCTAATGTGATGGGTAAGTATGGTCAGTGGTGGTCAGTGGAGAAGTATCCATCTACATTGGTGATTTCTGGCAAGTGTCACCTTCCTTGCTGGTCAATGTATCATGTACCTGGTGATGACTGAAGTGATGAGGAGGCCTCTCTTGCACCTACACTCCTGAAGACAGAGAGTGTGAGGGTTTACAGAGAATGGTCTGAAAAATATCCAGTGAGAGGCAGTTGAGTGGACGAAACTGCCTTGTTGATGTCAGAGGAAAGAGTAGAATGTGCAGACTGGTTGCTGTGACATTCAGATGGCAGGGTCAGAATTTGGCGTAAACAACATAAAAGCATGGATCCATCCTGCATTGTATCAACAGTTCAGGCTGGTGGTGGTGTAATAGTGTGGGGGATATTTTCTTGGCACTAGCAAGGTGTGCCTAATAAAGTGGCCGGTGAGTGTAGGTCACTACGCAGCTCTTTCCGTCATGTTAATAAAAAGACATTAACATTAGGTGATGCAAATTAAAACAAATACAGCACTGTAAAATAGATGTAATATACTTACCATTTCTGACTCCATTTAATGGAACCTTCACTCTCTTCCAGAATTAAAGTCCTGTGGTCTGGGGATTTTAAGTTCCCGGACCGCTGGAGTGGCTGCGGGCGCCTTGACAGCTCAGGATCACCAGAGGTAAGTTCAGCGGGAATTGGGATGGAGGGGGGTGTTCAGCGCAAGTTCACCTTTACATTTTTTGTGTAAAGATTAACTAACACTTTAAGGTTTTATTGCTGTGTGTTTGCCGATTGGAGAGATTTCCCCTCACATCCTGTGTGGCCACTAAGACAAGAAGAAACGGGAGGTCTCCACAAAGAAAAATTAAAAGGGAATTAAATGCTGACTTTGGATTCAACAAGAATAGTAAAGCCTTATTAAAACAAACAGTATCAATCTGTCTCATTCCATATATTCCTAACATAAGAGGAATATTCCTCTATTTAAAACAGTAGGCAGAGCCACAGAAATCATTGCTTTGCACCCTATTGGCCAAGTGAGGCACTAACCACTAAACCACCATGACACCCACTTATCCATTATAAACATATACACAGTATAAGACATTCAAATGAACAGTAACAAACTGTACAATGCCAATTTTAGAGTTGTCATCAGAGCAAAAGGTGAGGTACAAACCTCCAATAGAGACCTTAAGTAACAAAAGTATCATCTATGGCAGTCACACTCAACCTATGGCCCATTGGCTGTCTGATGTGGCCTGCAACCGCAAACCTATGGCAACCCGCACAGCCTCCTCTGGGCGCATGCCGCTCTACTGAATGATTGCTGGTCCTCCATAATCCTGGCAGCTGTCATACACAAGCTGCTGTTGTGGCCGGCTCCTCGCTCTTCTCTTTCTTTCCGAACGCAAAGACACAGGGAGAGGAGCTTTTAGCCGAGTGGATTGCATTCAGTGGCATCCATACATGGGGTTTGGAAAGTGGATTGTATGAAGAGCTTGGTGTCTTTCTGGGAGCATGTGAATGCATTATATGTAATTTTATCTTTGCTTAATAAAGAAGAGCATGCGCTTTCATGGTTTTTGTTTTTTGTTTAGATTGTCCACAGTCCTTGTTTTGGCAATTCACGGGATGGCTGCAAAGACCTGATATAGTGAAGGCTGTAACACTGGTTCAGAGCTTTTTTGGGCAGTTACACCTGAGTGTGAGTGTGGGATTAATGATGGTCTGGCTAATAAAAAAATAGTGATTTTTTTGTGATTGTGATTAAATAATGGGTAAACATCCAATGGGGATTGGTCCCACAGAAAGTGATGATTCTGACGGTTGTTTAAAACCTTCATTATGCTATTCAAATTAAAAAATTCTAAATTCTGAACCATTTCATTGTGGCCCACAACAGGTTATCAAATCACTAAAGTGTCCTGCGCTCTTCAAAAGGATGAACGCCCCTGATCTATGGCAATCATATTTCATTACAGTATAATGTAAAGACTAAACTTTTTTCTCAGTTTTGTTTATAGTAGGTAAAGGTTACTAACTCTATCAGGTTGTTTTTTTTCACTTGTGTCACACTAGGCAAATCTCCCTACACTTCCTAGGATGCAGAAGGAAGTTAGAAGAAATTTCTCCAAAGTTAGCAGAATTCCTGTATTAAGAGTTGTCATAGGAACTAGTGTTTTCATTAGGAGATATTCCTTCAACTCTTGCTCTGATGACAAGTCTACAATTTTGGATTTCCCCTCACCTTCTCTCTCTGTGACAATGGCCACCAGGTCAAATAGAGTGTTAAATCATTCCAAGGAGGACATTGAGCCCAGTAAGAACTTGACAACTATTCAGTTTCATCTGTTTCTATTCAGTTTCATCCAAAATGTAAAAAATGCCTTTACATACACTTGTGTAATAAAAAAAATCATGTGAAATCAAATAACTTTTTTGCTTCTTTTTACTGACAATATCTTATTCTTTATGGATACAGTAATAGAATTTTTTTTACAATTTAGTAACAAGGCTTCAACTTCAATAGCCTATAAAATATTATACAAAGAACTCTTTACATTGTTGCAAACCCAGTTCCTTTTCCGAAACGCTGAGTACTGTTTCTGTAATTAAATCACATACAATAGTTAGATAGAAAGATGCACTTGTGCATAAAAATGAATCGATTTCTTGGCAGGTTCAAAGTTCCATAATATTATTACTTTTTCTTTTTTTTTTAAAAACGTTTTTTGTAATACTTAATTACAAGGCTAAGTCCAAATACTGCTTCAGGAGGCTGTAGAATGATATCACTGCCACAAACCAACTGCGAAATGAAATTGCTATAACAAAATTTACATGAAGAATTCATTTTTTCCAGTAAATCCAGAGGTTAAACAAATAAAAATAAAATAAAGAAACACTGTGATTGAGATTACAAGAGAAAAAAAATCATCAAAAAAATATAAGATTCCTTTTCTTGGCAGTATTTTGAGTTTTGTTAGTGTTGGTAAAATAATGCTGTTCATTGATGCCATACAGTCCGCGTCACAGGCTTGTTATTCTGCGCTGGAGAGCAGGCTGCCATTTGCACGTTTAAACATGAGCAAGTGCGAAGGCACACCGAGGAGAAGGGGCCAGCTGATATTAGAAGATGGTGGTCTCGTACTTGGTGCTGATCCCCCGTTTTGTTTCCTGTCCTGGTTCAACGATCCAAGGCAGATTAGCAAGAGTCTTTTGATCTGGTTGATCTATCTGTTGGAAGGAATGATTATAAAATATAATTACCATCACAATATAAGGATCATGTACACACCTGCTCAAATTCAAAATCAAATTCTGAGAACAAATATGGCACCACCACAGGAGCCATAACCCATAGGAGTGAGGAAAAGTTGCTATAACATCTCACACTTTCTTTGGTCAGAGTAATTCCCAATTCTTCTCTCATGCCCACAATCTGTAGATTATCATTCTCAGGGATGTTCCTTTTGAAGGCTCATTCACACCAGACACATTCATCCGCATTGATCAGCTAGATCAATGCAGGCTCAATGCAAGGACACTTCTTCTCTATGTGCCCTTTTAACATCATTTACATCAAGGCAACACATGTATTACTATGCCTTGGAACGTACTGTTGTGCACAGAGTTACATTAAATTCTTTGGCTAACTTCAAATAAAGTTATAAAAAAAAGAAAAAACATAAACTCTGCAATGCAGTCTTAAACACATCGCAGCACAGGTGCACGCATATATGTGTGCTATTACAAAGGAGTGAATGAGCCCTTAGAACTAGGATGTGTGCATTTCTAGTTCTGAGACCAAGCTGTTACTGACAAGTGTTGGTCTGTAATAATGATTAAGGACCAATCAGTGTGGTTACCTGTCGTGTGATTACAGCCAATCATGGTGTGGCAAATTAGTTAAAGAGTTAGGCCTCTGGACATCTGGGGTCTATGAGACCCCAAATCACTCTTCTGCACTTGAAAGCATTCAAAACACCAGGATTGATGTTTTGAATGCTTTCAGATTTTTAAACATGGCACCCAAAGTTTCAGAGTAAACCAGAAGTGATGTCAGGTCATCGCTTCTGGTTTACAATAAAGGAGAGCCAATCAAAGCTGATTCCTGCTTTGTTCTGCTGTCTGGCCAGCTGGCGGATGCAGCAAGTTGTGGCCTAGTACTATCAGCAGGATGGAAGATCCGAGAGATCGTCGGAAGGTGGCAGGAGGGGGGAACGTCCCCTCTCGCTGCTTGTAGAAGCAATTGGGTGGCTAGTAGATGCTCCAATTGTTTGCACAAGAGAGCCAACCACAGACTCTAAAAAACAGTACAACCACCGAAATTCCAGCAACGTATGGGAACGTCACTGGTCCGGAAGTGGTTAATGCGAGCAAACTATGGTGTACCTCCATGTAAAGACAGTGTTTGCCAGCACGGAGATGCACAGGTGTCCCTGCATCCCCATGTAGGCAGTCCCATTCATGTCAATTGGAACGCAGTGGCTACCCCAAGACACACTGTCTGTGCTGCATCCCTATTGACATTAATGAGACAAAACACCTGTGCATCCTCGTGAAGCAAAGACAGCCCTTGCTGTAGTACACCCATGTGAATGAACCCTTCTTATGTCTGGGCATCTAGGCTTTAATAACCTCTGCTTACCAAGAAATTTCAGTTTTTGGTAGATCCTGGATAAACATATAACAGTTTCTTCTATCTCTTGAGAACTCTATTGTTGAGATCTCTGGATTGAGTTCCTGGGTCTGCATACCTGCTGTGGCCACTATAAGGGTCACTTTACTTGTTTTATATTACAGAGAATATAAAGAGTAGAACACACAAAGGTGGGAGGAAACACTCAAAAATCTCAGATAGACAAGTAGGAAGTTGAGGATTATGATAGGAGGATCTCACTGTCGGAGTACCCAAGATATATAAGATGCCAGGGACAAGCCTAGCGCACCACCAATGACTGAAATATCACATTTAGGGTGGACTGGTCTTTCAAACCCTGCTGCGGTTAACTAGATAACTGTCCCTGGAAAACATCCTATATGACAAAACGCGTAGAAAATAGCCTGTCCAAGAGCAGTTTCCATAGTTTATCGTGAGAAACACATAATGTCATATAGATCAAAATGGTAAAATTTTGGGGCCTCACAGGGTCCACTTTCTCAGGGTAACTCACTCCAGTGTCGCTGTCACTACAAGCACCACCTTTTACCATTAGTCCAGTACAGTCAGGCATGTGCAGCTCTATGCAAGATTTGGTTTTTTTTTTATCTTTTAAGACTGTCATTCTGGGTAAAGTGTCCTTACTTACCGTTGCCTTTCGAATACTGACTCGAGGTTTTGGGATAGGTTTGGTAGGCTTGCTGTCAAAGCTCTCTGGAAGTGTTGAGGAATGTCCGCCTTTCCTGGCTTGCAGTGCGAGCTGATAAGCAACTTCAAATGCTTGTCCTAATGTCAAGATGATCTCATAGGCTAAATTCTGCAGTGACAGAAAACAGTCCATATTATTTCAATATTTTACCATAGGGCGGATACATAGTGTATGTAGCTTTCTGCCTGGAAAGTTAGCATGCAACTGTCATCTCTTAGACTGAGACTACACTGTCACTGCATAAAATAAAAAAGCAAACTTAAACTTTTTTTCCCCAACAGGTCTTAAAGTGACACAGGAAAAGAATGAAGGCTGCCATTGCTGGCATCTTGAATAACATTCTAGCTGCCTATATTTGTATAGATTTGTATTTTGAATCTGTATCCAAACCCAAGAGCAAAAATGTAATATACTGCAGCTTACTAGTCCTTAGAAGTGGCATCTGCATTAAGTTTCCTTTTTCAGCTACATTTTCCTTTATTTCCCCCTGCAGACCTTGTCAGTAACTTCTTGTCCTGGGGTGACAATGCTCACTCACTGTACTGTATCTACAGAGGGGCAGCGCTGTCACCTTGGGACAGGAAGAGAATTAGGACTAGAGAACACCTCCTCAACTACTCGCCTTAACACAGAGGGAGAACACAAAAGAGAACTGAGAAAGCTCTTAACATTGTTTGAGATTTTATTTCAGTACACAGGAAGGTAAAAAGACAATGGATTTCTAGCAGGATCATCAGGTAAGTTTCTGTACTTGCAGAAAATGTTCTAAGCCTAAAACAATATATAACTAATGCAGCCACCATATCTAAAGACTGATAGGCTGAAATATATTACAGTGATGTTCTTTGGTTTAGAAACACTTTAAGTACTTCTGAGTCACAAATGTGGTACAAGTATGCTTTAAATGAGTGACAGAAAACGATCCTGGATCAAAGACTAAAAAAGGATTGAAATTAATACATTGACATGACAGTCAGGAAACAAGCATTCTCAAAAGCAGAGTTTATGAATGGCAGGCTCCATCATTCTTACTTCATAAAATCTGAAGTGAAAACTACTGCAATTGCTGACCTCCTAAAAATATTGGGTGTCAGCTCTTTGGCTTCCATATGTTCTGGGTTACTGGCCTGGAACATACATTTAGATTAGAGGGTGAAACTCGAACTTCTGATCCATATAGTGTTTTCAGATGCCTATCAAAGTACTATGGGAATGTGGCAGCCAGGCAATTGGCATTTTCAGAGGAGGAGGTCAGTCATTTTGACTTACCTGTAAACTCATACTGGCATACAGTACAGGACACAGGGCTTGTATTCGTAGACCATGGGTTGTATGCAATAAACTCGTATCCACTGAGGCCTGAACATTTTCCTGGTAAAATTTGTGAGCAGAAGACCAGGTGGAAGCCATGCAAATCTGAGATACAGATACTTGATGTTGGAAATCCCAAGGGGCACCAACAGCCCTACAGCTCTGGTGGAATGAAGTTTGATGGGGAAGAGAGGAACCCTATCCTTAAAGGCAATATGAACCTTTTTTCCAGCACCAGGTGTTTTTCACCTGCATAAGACGTACGTTGCTGTGGTTTTATGGTGTCATTTGTTGCCTTGTGTGCACAGCCTATAATAGAATAAATCTTCACATTCCTTTGTCAGCAATTTTTGTTTGTGTTTAAATATGAGGCATGTGGCATGGCACTGGACAGGATAATTCATGAACTCTGTCTGAAGTCTAAGAACTGACACTTTCCGGTAAAAAAACTCACTCTCCCACAATCCCTGGGTCTCTCAGTCTAGTGTTTGGCAGGTGAAATCTAAATAATTAATTAATTACATCTAAAATAGACACAAGCAGGCAGGGCAATGTAGGGAAAAGATGTTTTTCAGCACTCCCACATTTGTGATACAACACAGAGAAATAGCGAGGCGTGGACTGGATGCTAGGTGACCCAGAACAAAAATCTGCATGTCCCTTTAGTGAACAGGACTAGCTAAGTCAATGAATACATGGACACAGGTGAATTGATCAGCCATAACACTACAAAAAGCAGCTACAACATGTGAGCCCATCACTACAAGATGAGGCAAACAAACAACACAGTGAATATACGTAACTAATAGTTAAAACAACAAAAACATTTGAAGGTGTACAGTGCCTTTGAGGTTATAAGACCTGGAAATAAGTTGGTTGATCTCACTGGCAATGGTGTAAGGGGAAACAGAATGCCCTCTAAGAAGACCTACAGGCAGAACAAAGTGGGACTCAGTTTTGGGAACAGAGGCTATGGCTCTTAGGTAGACCCTGACAGCCCTGACAAACATCCAAGCAGTGGAGAGCAATTTCCTGAGCATGTTTTTGGCAGAGCAGAGGGAGGGAAGACCAACGCACTCTCTAAGGTGAAAAGAAGAGAGCACCATAGGTACAAATTTTCCTTGTGGAAAACAAGATAAGGCTCACTAAATGCCTTGAAAGAGGATAACATTGGGCCCAAAAATCCTGATGCAGAAGCAAACTGCGGGGTGCCATTTGGATCTAGGGGTCTACGTGTGGGACCTTAAAAAGACAGCTTTCTCCTGAGGAAGTAAAATTCTGGCTCGGGCTGTGTCCGAGATTAGTTCCAAGAAATCCAGATGGTGTGATGGAGGGCAGACTTTGGAACATTGATTATCCAGCCAGCTACACACTGCTTGTTGTCTTATTAAAAGCTAGAGTCTTACCCAATTCATGATGCTGACTTCCCCCGCCATGGTGGGGGTGCAGGTCTTTAGGGTCTGAGAACCATAAAAACTGAACCTGTATAGCACCTGGTAGCTAACTACACACATTGCACTGTGTGCCAAGATGAGTACCTTGGGGAGCAAGGAATAGGGTAAGCATAGCTGTCTATCCCTAGGCATAAGGAGCATTTAACCCTAGCTAAGAGTTCAGCTTTAATTAAAGTGGTTGTAAACCCTTACATATACCCAGCAAACTGACTGGCCTCAGGTGAGCCACAGACATGAAACAAATCCTTCCACATAAGTTGTACCTTTTTATCTGCAGTGTTCTCTTCTCTACGTCTGTTCAAAGTGCTGAATTTATAAAGCTTGTCTAAGAGTTAAAAAGGGGGCAGAGAGCTAGAAATTACAGTCTGCAGAGCTCAGTGAGGAGAGCTCTGAGAGATGATTGGAGGGAAGAGACACACCCCCTCCGACAGCTCACAGGAACAGAACTGAGGCTGTCAAACTGCTGAAGGTCAATCCCTTGTCATCATGTTTCTCTTGGTGTCAGGTAAACTTGTCAAAAGTGACTCATGCTGATAGCAGAGGAAATGGGCAGCAGACAAAAATGAGACTCGGAATTGACACAAGTACACATTATAGAAGTATATGCTTTCTTCATAGTTCATGTTTGAGGTTTACAACCACGTTAATGATATGGCATGTGAATACACTGCTCGAAAAATAAAAGGAACACTGTTTAATCAGAATATAGCATCAAGTCAATTAAACGCCTGGGATATTGATCTGGTCAGTTAAGTAGCAGAGAGGGTTCTTAATCAGTTTTAGTTGCTTTGGTGTTAATGAAATTAACAACAGGTGCACTAGATGGGCAACAATGAGACAACCCCCAAAACAGGAATGGTTTTATAGGTGGAGACCATTGACATTTTTTTCCCTACTCATCTTTTCTAACTGTTTTTCACAAGTTTTGCATTTGGCTAGGGTCAGTGTCACTGCACACATGAGGCGATACCTGGACTCTACAGAGGTTGCAGTTACTCTAGGAGAGCTGGACAGGGCTGTAGAAAGTCCTTAACCCATCAGCAGGACCGTATCTGCACCTTTGTGCAAGGAAGAGCAGGATAAGCACTGCCAGAACCCTGCAAAAATGACCTCCAGCAGGCCACTGGAGTGAATGTCTCTGACCAAACAATCAGAAACAGACTTCATGAGGGTGATCTGAGGGCCCGATGTCCTCTAGTGGGCCCTGTGCTCACTGCCCGACACCATAGAGCTCAATTGGCATTTGCCATTGAACATCAGAATTGGCAGGTCCACCACTGGCACCCTGTGCTTCTCACAGATGAGAGAAGGTTCACCCTGAGCACATGTGACAGATGTGAAAGGGTCTGGAGAAGCTATGGAGAACGTTATGCTGCCTGTAACATTGTTGAGCATGACCGTTTTGGTGGTGGGTCAGTGATGGCCTGGGGAGACATGTCCATGGAGGGACGCACAGACCTCTACAGGCTAGATAATGGCACCCTGACTGCCATTAAGTATCGGGATGAAATCCTTGTACCCATTGTCAGACCCTAGGCTGGTGCAGTGGGTCCTGGATTCCTCCTGGTGCGCAACAATGCCCAGCCTCTTAGACAAAAATCCTTTTCCCAACAGCAATTGTGGTGAGAGTATGCAGGCAGTTCCTGGAGAATGAAGGAATTGATACCATTGAATGGCCCCCACACTCACCTGACCTAAAACCAATACAACACCTCTGGGATATCATGTTTTGGTCCATCCGACACTGACAGGTTGCACCTCAGACTGTCCAGGAGCTCAGTGATGCCCTGGTCCAGATCTGGGAGGAAATACCCCAGGACACCATCCGTCGTCTCATTAGAAGCATGCCCCGACGTTGTCAGGTATACACACGAGGACGTGAGGGCCATACAAACTACTGAGGACCATTTTGAGTTGCTGCAATGAAACTTCTGCAAAATGGACTAGCCGGCTGCATCATTTTTTTACTTTGATTTTCGGGGTGTATTTCTAATTCAGTCCTCTGTAGGTTGATAATTTTCATTTCCATATATATATATATATATATATATATATATATATATATATATATATATTATATACATTCTTAAACTCATTTCTTTTGAACTCACCACATCAAACGCCAGACACAACATCAAACGCTAGAGAGGCATGAACACATGACAATAATGGAGATTAGATTTCAAATCTTTTGTGATATATGCAAACGTAGAGAGGTCTTCTGGATCCTGTGCAGCACATGATATATTGCGGATTTCGTGTTCAGCAATAATTGTCTGTATGGAGAAGAAAATTAGGAGAAATCAAATTAAATAAAATCAAATTAAGATTAAGCTACTACAATATTTCTATGTAAAGTGCCTCTTATACTGCAGTATATAATATTATGAATCATATTTGCTATGTGTTTAAGTCATGATACACTTGTTCTCTCCCTTTCTACATTTTTTTCTTTCTCCTTTCAACTCCTTTGTCCTGTTTCTTTTTAACACCGTACCATCCACAGTATATAGATTGGACCTGGGCAAATTATGGCCCCTAAGGCTACATACGGCCCACTGGCTGTCTGTTTCCAGCCCTCAATGCCTCCACTGTCAGCATGCCTCTCTGAGCCTGACAGGAAGATGATGTTCATATGGAGAATTGCAAGGCCTGGAAGGAGACAGCCTGTGGAGGTGATCGGTACAGCGGGGAGGATTGGTTCTGGTGGGAGATGGGAGAACATTGCTTAAGAGATGTTGTGATGTTCTTGCACCACTCTGCTACCTGGCTAAGTTCTTCTTTAGTTAGCACCTGCATACTGGTAACCCCAGGGGCTGCCCACCTGTTCTTCACTCCAGATCATGATCTGCAAAAGTCCCCTCAGGCTCACCTCACAGAAACAGAGGTTCTCATACCCCCAAATAAATGACTGGTGCAATCTCTAAGTTTAAAGACTGAACTTCCACCACTAAAAGCAGGTGAAAATGGAAGCCCTGTCAGCGGTGACAGATGCTGCTGGAGGGCTTCGTTTTTAGGTAAGTTTCACATCATGCGCTTTTTTTTTTTTTCTAGAATTTACTACCACTTTAAGGGAATTAATATTATTAATATTATTATTATACAGGATTTATATAGCGCCAACAGTTTGCGCAGTGCTTTACAAAATGAAGGTAGGTATAAGTTACAATACAGTTTGGTACAAGAGGAAAAAGAGGGCCCTGCTCGTTAGAGCTTACAGTCTAGGAGGAAGGGTCGAATGATACAAAAAGGCAATAGCTGTGGGGGATGAGCTGTTGGAGGAAATAAATGGCAGTCTACTAATTAGAAGCAGGATAGGCTTTTTTAAAACCACTTGCCTAACGGGCACTTATACCCCCTTCCTGCTCAGACCAATTTTCAGCTTTCAGCACTATCACACTTTGAATGACAATTGTGCGGTCATGCAACATTGTATCCATAGGAAACTTTTATCATTTTTTCACACAATAGAGTTTTCTTTTGGTGGTATTTAATCTCCACTGGGTGTTTTATTTTTTGTGCTATAAACAAAAAAAGAGCAAAAATTTGAAAAAAAAAAGGTTTTTCTTTGTTTCTATTATAAAATTTTGCAAACAGGTAATTTTTCTCCTTCACTGATGTTCATTAATGAGGCTACACTGATAAGCAGCACTGATGGCCACTGATAGGCAGGACTGATAGGCGAAACTGATGGGCACTGATAAGCGGCACTGATGAGGTGGCATGGATAGGCAGCACCGAAGGGCACTGATAGGCAGCACTGAAGAGCTGACACTGATGATGCTGCATTATTATGCAGCAATGATATGCTCTGATAGACGCACTGATGGGCATTGATAAGCAGCACTGATGGGCAGCTCTGATGGGCACTGATGGGTGGCACTGAATCATGGCACTGACTGGCGGCACTGATTGGTGGCACTGACTGGTGGCACTGACTGGGCAGAACTGATGGGTGGCACTGCTGGTTGGCACAGCTGGGCATAGGTGGGTGGCACTGCTGGGCACAGGTGGGTAGCACTTGTGGGTAGCACTGCTGGGCACTGATCATCAGTGCCCTGATGATCAGTACCGATCTGTTTTCTGACAATTGCCGGTTATCAGCAGTACTTTCCTCATGCTGTGACAGCGTGAGGAAAGTGCAGCCAATAACCGGAAACTGCATTTACCCGGTGATCTGCTGTGTCATTGGACACAGCTGATCAAGTGGTAAAAGGCCGCTGTGATTGGCCTTTTACCACAGCATGTGATCAGCTGTGTCCGTAGGACACAGTGATCATGGAGATTGCTGGGTGCACGCTGCTGGGGGCGCGCAGGAGGGCGTGTTCTGGGAGGACGTCTGATGACTCCCTCCCAGAACTGGACAACCGCGCTGTAGCCATCATTCGGCTATAGCGGGGTTGGTGAGTTGTTACAGAGAAAGGTTTTCAGGGATCATCTAAAGGTGGATAGATTAGGAGATATCCAGACAGATTGGGGTAGGGAGTTCCATTGGATGGGAGAAGCTAGGGAGAAGTCCTGGAAGTGAACATGAGAGGAGGTGACACAGCAACTAGAGAGCAGGTCTTGGGAGGATCAAAGAGAGCAGTTTGGTTGATATTTTGAGACCAGGTTGGTGATGTAGCTGTGGGCAGAGTTGTGGATGGCTTTGTAAGTTGTTGTTAGTATTTTGAATTTTATTCGTTGGGCGAGTGGAAGCCAGTGGAGGGATTGGCAGAGAGGGGTAGCAGACACTGAACGGTTGGTAAGGTGGACGAGCAGTATTCATGATGGACTGGAGGTGGGATAGCCTATGTAATGGTAAGCCAATGAGGAGGGAGTTGCAGTAGTCGAGGTGAGAGATAACCAGGGAGTGAATTAGGAGCTTTGTGGTATCATTGGTTAAAAAGGGGCGTATTCTGGAGATGTTTGCAGAGGTTGACGTGGCATGATTTGGACAGGGATTGGATGTGGGCCTGAAAGGATAGTTCAGAATCCAGGGTTACCCCTAGCACCCTGGCATGTAGGGATGGGTTGATAGTGGTGTTATTGATCCTGACCGAGAAATCAGGGGAAGAGGCACATGGGGGAGGAAATATTAGGAGCTCAGCTTTTGATAGATTGAGTTTTAGGAAGTGGTGTGACATCCAGTCTGATATGTCTGTTAGTAAATTGGTGATACGTGAGGAAACTGATGGGGTGAGCTGAGGAGTAGAGAGATAGATTTGTGTGTCAGCAGCATAGAAATGGCATTGGAAAACATGGGAAGCTATCAGCTGACCCAAGGAAGAAGTGTAGATCGAGGAGAGGTCCAAGGACAGAACTTTGGGGGATCCCGACAGTAAGAGGAGTAAGAGAGGAGGAAGTAGAGTTGTAAGTGACACTGAAGGTGCGGAGAGATAGGCAAGATTCGAACCAACGGAAAGTACAGTAACGGAGACCAAGTAAATAGAGGTTTCTTTTGAGGTGGGGGTGGTCAACTGTCAAAGGCAGCAGAGAGGTCCAAGAGTAAGAGTACGGAATAGTGACCATTGGTTTTAGCAGTGTGTAAGTCGTTTGTGAGTTTTAGGGGAGCAGATTCTGTGGAGTGTTGTGGGCAAAATCCAGACTGAAGAGGATCAAGAAGGTTATTCTCAATAAGGTGGCAGCTCAGCCAGTTGTAGACTAGACGTTCAAGGAGTTTGGAGGCAAAAGGGAGTAAGGAGATGGGTCTTAGGTTGCTAAATTTGGTGAGGTCCAGTGAGGCCTTTTTAAGTATGGGGGTGACTTTCGCATGTTTTAGAGAGTTGGGGAAGATGCCAGTAGAAAGGGAGAGATTGAAGATATGAGCTAAAAAATGAAGGATAGAGCCAGAGGGTGACTGTAGTATTTGCGAGGGAACAGGGTCCAGGGGGCAGGTGCTTAGGTGGGCTTTAGAAAAAAGTTTACCAACCTCCTCTATAGTAGCTGGGTTAAACAAGGGAAGTATAAATTGTGCAGGTGGACAAGGAGTGTAGGGTGAGGGAAATATCTGTACAGTGAAGATCTCGTCACGAATTGTATCAATTATTATATTTATTATTTTTTAAGTGATTAGCGATATCCTGGGCAGTGAGTGAGTTAGTGGGTGGAGGTAAAGAAGGACGAAGTTGAGAGTTAAAGGTAGAAAAGAGTTGACAGGGATTGCGTGAGAGGATGGTAATGAGAATTATAAAATAGATCTGTTTGGCAGTGTGGAGACAAGAATTGTATTTGTGAAGGGCAGATTTATATTTGTCAAAGTCTTGCTGGGTCTTAGTCTTAGGCCATAAACACACGGAAATATTTTTTGAGGCATCTGGTATTGTCTGTTTGCCAGGGCTGTAGATGTCGGGGCCTCATTCTGTGTGTAGTGAGGGGGGCCAATATGTCTACGGAATATCTTTGGGACCCCCAGGTCACCATAACTAGTGTCCCCATTGGATGATTTCCCCTATATTACTTTTCTGGGACAACCCAGAATTTGGTATTTTCCTTTACTTTCACTTTCAATGATAATGGTAAACAGGACAAATAAAGAGGGTAAATCTCCCTGACGGTGCCACAGACAACAGTAAAAGCTGACCGGTGTACTAATCCATCTTTCACCTGTCCAAAACTAAAAAAATGTTTTCCCTTTAATTAAATTCCCATACCACCCCCAGCTACTCAGTCACATGCAAGAAAAAAACAGTTTTTTTTTTTAGTTATTCTCCAAAGATAATTGTCATTTAAAGAAAACCTAAAGTGTAAACCCTAAAAATAAACTTTCTTTTCTTTCCTCCTTTTTGGTGTTTCAAATATTTAATTGAAAGCACTGTGCTATATCTGTTCGGTAAGTGGATAAAAACCTTTTGATCTTTTCAGAAATTCTGAGCTGCCCTGGTCACTTTTCCTTTGTTATCTCAAGGAGTCTTATCAGCCCTTCCAGATCTTATCTTGGCCTTCACACACTTCCCTCCTATGTTGTGGAGATGAGGGGAGGGGTGTTCTGTAGTTCAGCAAAAGGCAAGTGGGCAGGGCTGGCACCATTTCTTGTGACTTCAGCTTAGAAAAGGCAGTGTTGTCAGCCCCCAAAATTATAAACTAAGCGCATTTCTAGCAGATCAGCAGATTTTTTTCTGCAAGGTCTTTCAAGGCATACAATATGGTAAATGTATTGCAGAGATATACTGCATATGTTTTTTTGCTTTTTTTTTTTTTTCTATCAGGCTAAGTCTGCGTTTTTACTCCGGATTAGTCATTGCTCAAAAAACAGGTTTCAAAACAAGTCAGCAATGACAGATGAAATCTGATAGGT